CGTAATACCCCACACTCATTATTTTTTTGAACCTTTTATTTGTCTTGAAAAATGTGGTTGCTGACAAGTTGCTAAATGGGCCTACAGAAGTTATCAGGGACTTTAAATGTCATCTGGGCGAGAAGGAAAACTCATTGATCACTGGTCCAATTTACAGCCTTGTTGTGTTCATAATAGTGCTTTATTCTAAATCAAGCTTTCAGAGAAACAGTGGTGATGTTGAAGTCATATGACCATGGTGTACAGTAGTTCGAATATAGCTTATGTTTTTGTTGGTCACAGAGCTTACTTTCTGCAATAATCCAAAGTAAAGATTTTAGTAGATAAAAAAAAAACACTGGGTGGATTTTTATCATTATAGGGTGGTTGTGTACACACACTGCCAACACACATTTCAGTTCAAACAACTTGTAAAAGTGCATGTAGCAGCCAATGACCCCTTTAATGCACAATGTGGAGGCAAATAACCACCCAAAGCAAAGCGGAGCACACTAAAATTGTGTACTGCTTACTGATGACGCCACAAGTACACGAGTTAAGAATACACCGCTAATACGCATGTATGCATGAAAACAAGCTTTCTCACAATAAACAGTTTTTTAGTCTGCATGTACACATAATGAGTGGCATTTCGAACAGTGTGCTGCAGCATGACTAAAAATAATAAACTTGAATTCACTTTTAAAAGTTCATTTGTCGTTTGAAGTGATACATAGGTTACATTTTAGTACAAAAGATAAACTTAACAGAATTGACCCTTAATTTTTTACTTACATTCACCTCATTTTCAATGTTTTTAGGTGTGTTTTAGGTGCCTAGGATCATGAGTGGTTTTGTATTAGGTGTATAATTTTTATTTTTTATGGTGTGTGTTCGGGAAGGAAGGGTGAGTGTGTGTGTGATATTTCTCGGTTGTTGTTTTCGTGGTTCATTCTGTATATATTATGTGAGATTTCAATTTGATCTGCTTTTTTTGTTGTTGTATAAAAACTGATATAAATAAAAGATTTTTTAGTCACACTGCAGGACTAAGTGTTATTGTGCAGTATTATTTGTCAATTTACTCATAGTGTTGGGTAAGATGAAAAACGGTTTCCTTACTTGAGTTTGGCATCATCAACCACCTGCTCCGCATCAGAGAAGTTCAGCACTTGCTCTCCTTTAGGCAGAGGTTGAACTAGAAACACATCAGATGAAAATGACGGCGATCAACACATGCAGGAGCACCGGACTGTAGTGAAGTATGACGTATCTCACCGCTCTGATCCTCCAGCAGATAGTACTGCTTGAGCAGCTGCCAGTGGACCATCAGATTCTTAGCAGTGCGTGATGGGTAAAAGACATTTGGGTGCTTGTTCAGCAAATCTTGAAAAACCTCCAGCTTAGGCTGACTGCTCTACTCACAAACATGAAGCAAGGATGAACAGTACAGCGATTACATTTAAAACAACAACAGCAACAATAAAACCTAGAAAGCATTCATTGTAACATGTCATCAAAATGCTGATGTCTCACTGAGGTGATCTTAGCGAGCAGGGCTTCCTCTGTCTGACTGAAGAGAGCTTTACTCTGAATAGCAGCGATGGCCTCTGGATGCAGCTGTCTCATGGCCTGCCACGCCAACCTGAGGAACAGACAAAACCCACAGAAAAACATACATTCAGATCCTATGTTAAGGTAACAGTAAAAAGGACTGTTTTCACTTAAATATTAATCAATTTAAAAGCAGAAATCTGTTAAAACACACAGACTTATATTTCAGATATCAACTTCTCCTTGGCTCTGTTGTAATCTTATTATAATACTTTTTTTTCCCCGCAAAACATGAATAAGGAAAAAACTGTAGCTAAGAGTTTGAGGTTCATGGAATTAGGGCTGTCAATTTTTTTCGAATTTCGAATATTCGTCGAATTTAAAATAAAAATCCACATTCGAATTTAAAAACGTTGCATTCGAATTTTAGGTGTGCGTCAGGCAGCCTTATCAGTGGAGCATGAAATGCGACGACGATGTAAGTGTCATT